AGCTTTGCGCGCACCTGGGTGGAAGCCAACCGAAACACACCGATAAGAGATGTCACCTAGACCCAAAAACATTGACTGCATGACGTTCGCTCTCCTGCTCTTGCAGCTCACTGCCCCGAAAACGAAAGAAAAAAAAAAAAGGCTCCCACCGACCCGCCATACTCCAACTGGAAAGGGGACCTTATCAGCTACCTGTGGCCGCAACTCCCTGAGAAGGAAACCTGCTCCCAGCTCTGTACAGACATGTGCATCACTCAAAATGTGAACATAGCTCGTGGACCTTCCATGGCTTGCTTCAGCGCATTGGCCTGGGCATCTTCCTCACAAAAATGCATCTAGCATCATGCGCAAGGCTGTCCCCAAGCTTGGTAGAGCCGTCTTTTTGCTGCTGGTAGCTGCGACTACGGCTACTGCTGCTGCTGCTGCTGCTGCTGCTGTTGCTGTTGCTACTCCCCCTGCCGCTCCTCCTTCTTGTTGCCATCAGTGTTGATCTTATTCAATGTGTGCCTGCCTGTGATAATTTCAGGCTGCTGCTGCATATCAGACCTGCAAACCCCATTCAGCAAAAACTAAAACGTGTTTGGCTTAGGGATCTGCACCAACTGCTGATGGCCATGCCTGTAGTAGACTAAGGCTTAAGGCTTAAGTAAGGCCAACATGCACTCCAGTCAGGATTCTACACCTTCCCATTCTGAGTACAGAGATCCTCCCGAAGATCCCGGTCATCGATGACGTACTTCCCTACCAAAAAAATGAAAGCCCTTCTCCGGTCCGTCCTGAGCCTTCAAAGCTTCACGGATTTCGAGGAGGAGTGGATCTTCCTGCAGCACCAGGACCCGAGTCATCGCGTTGATCGCAAGGCGCACACATCACTTGGGAGAATGTACAATCCTGTCCGGCACGAGGCTTGTCTAGTAAACATCCTCTTCACCAGCTCACCAGGCCCTGAATTCCTAAGGCAATGCTCCTGAGGGCATCTCCTCACATGAATGCGCGAAATGAGGGGACCCCCCAGAAGGAACTTTTCTGCAGTGAGCACGTACTCCCACAATGCAATCCATGAGAGGGTAACGCCATTCTTGATTGCGCTACAAACTCTCTGTACTGCCAGTTTGGTGGGAACCTGGGCCCCCGCTCAACTCATGGATGGTAATACCTCTTAAACCCAGTGAAGGCTCCAGGTAATATCAAAAGCACTCGCCAGAAGAGAAAGCATCTGCAAATGCCCGCGAAGACAACCTGAGGCTCTGCAGCTCTGAGGATGTCCTGCTTAGCAAAAAAAACAGCTCAACTGTGTGGCTCCTTGGGCTCCTCCGGCTCATCTCCCTCTTCGCACCTCAGAAAGTGGTCCAAAATGATCGACAAAATGAAGTTGTTAGATTTTACTTATCGTGATAACGATCTTCTTCTTGCTCTTGCTCTTACTCCTGCTGCTGCTGCCGCTGCCGCCGCCGCTGCTAGTGCTAGTGCTAGTGCTAGTGCTAGCGCTAGTGCTAGTGCTAGTGCTAGTGCTAGTGCTAGTGCTGCTGCTGCTGCTGCTGCTGCTGCTGCTGCTGCTGCTACTATTATGCCGGTGGTTGGAGATAATTTTACCAGCGGCAGCAAAAAAAACGGCAAAAGCCTCCAAAGCAGTAGCAGTAGTAGCAACTGTTGTAAGTAGTAGCAGCAACAAATGCAAGATTTGTAGCAGCATTTGTGTCATCGTCATTGTTGTTGTCGTCAGTAGAGGAGATGTGTTGAATACGTAAATGGAGCTTCGTAGGAAGGTGGTGGTGTCTGTGGCTGTGGTGGTAGCTGTGGTGGCGGTTGTGGTTGCTGCTGACGAACGTCATGCGTCTCTGACATCGTTGCCGTCATCATGGCATGCTGCCACTGTCGCAGCACCTACAGCAGCAGCAGCACAACCAGCACCAGCCGCAAGACTAGAGGTAGCCGCCGGTGTTGTCATAATACTTGTCATGGCAAAATCAATGACGAGGAAAACAGCTGTAGATAGCTGTAGTCCTCAGCGTTGCGGTAGTTGTACTAGTAGCCGTAGTCGTTGTTGCCGTTGTAGTTCAGCTGTTGCAGTCATGGAAGTCACAGTAGTCTGGTGACGGTTGCGGCGGTGGCGGGCGCGGTGGCGGGCGCGGTGGCGGTGGAGGTGGTGATAGAGGACAGCGGTCGCCAAATTAGCACCAGCCACGATGGCCAACACAAAAATCCAACGTCTCTTCTAAAACTTGAAACTCTACCTGCAAGTGGTGATCTTAGGCCCTTGGTCCTCACGAGGGAAACTTTCGATGACTGTACGAAGTCTACAGGAGGTCACGCAGAAGTACATCTTGGATCGTGCACCTATGACCCCTAACTCTCCTGACTCTTGTGCTGGCAGGTGACTCTTCCTTGGACTCCTCTTCGTCAGCCTCGTCCGGAACCTCCTGGCCTCGGCAGATTGGGGCCCAATGGAGTGGTGCCCTTGTAAGGTTATGTCGGCTTTGTAGGGGTAATACAGGGATAATAATGGAAAAGAAAATGGAAACTACTATTTAGGGCTTGTTATGAATATCGAATTCAATAGGGAAGAAGGGGCTCATGGCTTTGGCAAAATCATCACGGCATTTGGCCAATCCTAGCCTGTAATCGCGGCGTTGACAAGCTTGAACTGGATCTTGAAGGCTCTCTAGGCTGCGTATGAGGACTCGCAGACCCACTGTGCGTTCTGAAGGCTTCCAGACGAACTTGATCGCTTGTGGAGTTTTTAGACATCCCTTGCCCATGCAACATCAAGGAAAACCTGCGAGGGTGATGTGAGTGACAGTCAAAAACTCCTTACATCTGGCAATGGACGCCAAATTGGAAGCGTCGCTTTCCAATGTTCCTATCGCTTTACAAGGTTGTGTACTCAAACCTGAGGTCGTGCGAATTTCGGGGGCGTCACTTTTTAGTGTTCCCCATCGCTTTACAAGGCTTTCGACTGAAAAATCTGGGCTGTCGCTTTTCTGTGTCAAGCTTGCTGCTTCTCATGTCCGCTGCTGACATAACAAGTCACAAACGAAAACTGACCGTGGCTCACATCCTAATCGTCTTCGCTGTAGGGCGCGACTTCATATCTTGTCTGTCTGAAGGCCACTCCGAAGGACATGAGTACATTAGGGTTAACAAGGCAGCAGTTTCGGGAAGAAACATGTTCTTCCGTGCGAGCCTTTGAAGGGGAGCATGAAATGGACCATGACGGACCGTCACAGCATCAATGAGGCGTCTCTAGGGAAAGAACTCTTCTGCAGAAAGTCGATGAACTCCTGCTCTCTGCGATGAACAAAGCAATACATGCCAGGAGAGAGACCGGCCGACTTTGGGGGTCCTTGCGCGTGATGAAGCCGTCATCTCCCTCCCCTCCTGAACAACTGCTGAAAGTACGTCAAGCAATGCCCAGAGACATTCATGATGAATCCGCGCACACATGCACGACTTTCACAGCTGCAAACCACTTGCAGCAGAGCACGCCTCTGATGTGCTGTATGTTCGCTTCGAGTGTTGCGACTCGCCTGCATCAACTAGAAATGCATGTGGCTACTGCGCACAGTCGCTCGGAATTGGTTTTCTCGCAGGACATGCAAAAAACAAGGGCGTTTCCAGAATTCGTGCAGCTCTGCAAATCTTGCTAGCAAGCTGGACAGAGAGCCAGGAATGCAAAAGGTATATCGCTGACACCGAGGCCTCTGAATCCGCTGCCAGGCCGAATCGATCTTCTTGGTGCTGATGAGCGACTTCCTTGCAGGATCAAATAAATTCTAGATCCTAGATTTTTCTGCCGGGCTAAGACGAGCTGGGCACACACAATGTCATCAATGTTCTCCCCATCGAATAGATCAGCGCCTGCCCCTGGCCGTAAAAATGTGCGCTTTCCTGATAATCTCTCCTATAGCTCCGCAGGCCTGAGACTCTCCGCCCAGGCCTTGAGAACCAAAGCAAGGGATTATGACTAATTTAGCAATCTCGCCAAGTCAAATCAGGGATCTCACCGGGGAGCGTCGATCTTCACCGCCGCTGCGCCCATGTTCTTCCGCAAGCTTAGGCCCGCTAAGCCGGCACCCTTGCCAAGGTTGCGCAGCTGCTCTTTTGAAAAGGCTTCAGTTGTGCAGGGCTTTTCTTCTAATCGTTGTTGTCGCTTCAGAGCATTGGAGCTTGCCAACTCTCAAACGGAAGCGCGGGATTATCATGCCCCCGGCGTTACCCTTCAGGCCTTGCTTGGAGTTTGGTTCGACTTCGAGGCAGCGCCTTGGCTGTCAGGCTGTCGAAATTCCCTAGAAACCCAGGAGAAATATGACACACGTGCCAAACATGAACTGCGAATTGAGGCAAGCTGTAGAATAATCCAAATCTGAGAACGACTCGATTCTTGAAGTTCATCGCATTGCTGACATCTACGTCGTGCACCTCTCCACCTGAAGCCGCAAAGTCTTGAAACTCCTACAGTCCCTGCCCACTGGGTTCAAAAGATGTATTTCATGAAGGCCTGGTCAGCTCCTTGTGGCAAATTCAGGTGGCTCAGATGTTGAAATCCATTATTGCATTGCTGTCTTAGAGAAAGTCTGCAGAAGGAGGTCTGCAAACAGTTCAATCCCCATTGAAGGAACTGCAAGCGCTGGACTGATTCAGAAGGAGTACATACATGTGAGACAGCCTGGCGTAGAGCGTCCACCATGACTGTCTGTGCTGATCTGCCTGTAGGCCATGGCCTCATGCAGCACCATACGTATCACACAACAGGGTGGTCTGCTTGGCAGCTGGCCGTGTGATAACTTCACAAGCAAATCTGCAAAATTTCTGAGGCCTTAGCCCGGTTCGCTCCGGACTCACCCCCCACCCCCCCGCGCCTCCATGCTGGCCCCCCTGTTTGGGCTCAGGGCAGCAATGCATGCATTGCACAGGTGGAACGGTGGAACAGCTGTGCATGACGTGAGCTCTGCACAAATTTCATGTGCAAACCCTAAACACACAGCGTTGGTCAGCATAGCCTGCCAGCACGCAGACCACGTACGCGACCTGAAAAACTTGCTAGGCATCAGGCAGCACAGCGCCTGCATGCAAAGGCATGCTGCTGGAAACAAAAAGAACGCGGTGAGGTACTATGAAGTGAGTCTTCAAGAAAGGCCCTACCTTCGTTGAAGTGGACATCTTCCGGCCGATGTTGCCCAAAGCACCGGGCATCTCATCCGGCGTCATCTGCGCAGATATTAGCATGCGCAGTCATGCTGCTGACCTTCTACTCGAAGATCCATTGCAGGCCTGTTCAAGCAATCGGGTCTGCTCCTTTCAGGGCCAAGTTTCCTTACCTACACTTCCACCCACGCTGCGCAAGTCCCCGGATGACCTCCTGGACGACTGCTTCGTACAGCTCGACTTGCTCCCGGCTTGGTCGCCGTGCAGACAGCACATCCCTGAACAGCTCTGCTTGATCAGCTCGTTTAATTTCTGGAATTGCGCCTTTATCCAGACCTGCTTACAGCCTGAACTCGCTCAACCTCTGGAGCAACTGTCTGGCTTGAATGCTTGCAAGCGCTGGTAAGATTGCCATGTTCGACTGCCAACCCAGTCTTGTAGTGAAATTCACAAAGAGCCCGTCAGATGAACCCTGGGGTCTGCCTGAAGTGGCCCAGAGCAAAGATGATGTTTGGCTGCCCGAAAGGAGAGCCTGAAGATTCCAGAGCTCTGCTCGTCGCCAAGCTGCTCTGCACCCCCAAGAACCTGCAAAGTGTTGGAAACGTTGTAGGGCTGTGGGCAACCCTGTTCATGTAGTTCACGTAGTGGTTTTGCACTCCTCATGCATGACAACTCACATGTCCAATGCTGCCGCCGATCCCCTTCCGCAAGAGACCCTGCCTCAGCGATGGTTTGGTTGTCTATGTGTTCGTAGCAGGCGAACACCTGAGCAGCAGTTTCCTCCGAATTGTTCTGCTTCTGCCTGAGGACGAACATCCAGGATTGTGCGCCAAAACTGTAAACTATGATAGTAGTGGGCGACCGTAGCCCACAAATGGCAGTGTGGTAAGTGCAAACTGTTCACTCACTGGTCTGCCTCAGGAAAGGTGGGCCAAGGCCGCAGCTGTTAACGAGAAGAGCTGGTTGACTGCCTCTTCTTCATTAAGCTCCTTCATCCTCCGGCATGGAAAGACACAGCTGCTTTTTCAAGCTCCACCAAGCGCACCCTGGAGCGCTTTGCGCCATGAGCGACGCAATGGTGGTCTCCACCTCATGCAAACAGTTTAGGATCTTGTCTGAGCTCTCTCTGTTGAAGCTCACATCGACTTAAGTCTATGGCACCACATATGGTGCCTCGTCTGACCGCGATTCTAAGCGATGTCGAGTCGTGCGAATGCACCTGGGCGCGTAATGCTTGAGCAGCTTAGCATCCAGGAGCAACAACCGAAAACTCACCCGTTCCTCATCGTTCCTCTTTTTCTGTCAGAAATGCCAATCCCTCGCCGGCTTGCACTGGCCACATCCACTGCCGACTTTCTCAACTGCAACAGCAAGGCTACGTAAGCATTTAAGTGATGTTCTAGCATATTCGGTGCAAAATGTCGGGGTCCGAGCGCGCGCATCCGCTTGCGGCGTGCCTTTTTTGACAGGTCCTTTTCCACCTGGAGCTCAATGGGACATGTACATAACTAACCTTGCCGCAAGCGGTGTGTCTAGAGCATCACCTGCATGCTTATCGCCGAGTTAAACTGATGCCCCTTGCAGCCTACGGCGAGTTCCTAAATGGTCCGGCTCTTGTCATTGCTTCGGCTATAATACCACACCGTCCACAGGTCAGTTCGAGTTGCCTCCTTCTCAGATTGAGGTTGTTATGTCAAGGATGCAGAAGGCCTTGGACATATCACCCTGGGCCGCCACCTGCTCACAGTGACACATGTGGACACAACACATTGCATGCACAAACATGCAAAAAGGACCAGGATGAGTTGCAGTTTCTTTCACAATTGAGCAAAAGTCCGCAATTGCTCGGTTGCTCTCCCCTACTTGCGGCCCCCCCATATGTACGGACGGCCCATCCACTGGGGCAGCAAAAAGAGTGGGGAAAAATCAGCAACTATCGTACAGAATGATACTGTTACAAAGCCCATCTTTGACTACGGGACTACGAGTATGGGCTGAAGTTCCAACCCTTTCAGGGCTGGTCCTAAGGAGCCTCGCACAGCCCAGCAAGAATTCGGAGATGCCTGGGTCGCCTGGGCCTGGCTCTTGTGCTGTCATCTGACATGGCCGTTGTAGCTCTCCAGCTGCTCATCCTGCCACGGCACCGTGGCACGCAGTGGGACTTGTGCCTCTCCTCTTGCTCGGAGCATCTTGGAGCAGTGGCTACTGCGCAGCAGATGTCCACAGAAAATGACCTTCTCGATCACACAGTTATTCGCCTTGATCCAGTACCAGGCAGCAAGGTCAGTGTTCGGGTCATCACACGCATCCAGCATCTGAATATGGCCGTGACTTCAGTCTGCGCTGCCTCGGTGCTCCTCCCTCAGTGATTGCAAAGCGCTCGGCTCGCGCGGTACCGAAGCCGGGACCGTCGCGTGCAAACTTGTTCCAGGACCTGTGTCAGGAATAGCAACTCCTACTGAGAGGCCGCCAGCTGCATCTTCGGCGGTTTTGGGCTTGCGGCGCTGATGCCGCAAGTCTCGCAATGATGCTACGCCACCAGCACTGTTCAAGCTTCCAGCACTACCCCCACTTCCTGGACGACCACCGCTTACCCCACTCACCTGCGACTGTCCGGAGGCCGGGCGATGATCGGGTTGGTTCAGCAAAGACCCTGCAGCTGCTCGCAAGGTCGGCGACCCAAATTTTGCCCTGTCCTTTGCACTCACACCAGTGCCGGCTTGTCGACCCCGCGCGCTGTCCTTGGCTTCTAAAGGCTTTGTTTGCGTCTTCTCATGACTTGTCTGTGCCCGAAGCCTGGAGAGGAAGGCATCGAAATCCTCAGGCGTTGCGGCAGCAAAGGCTGCAAAATCATCCTTGCCGATTGGGCGCTGCGTGCCAAGCCCATCCAAAGAAGTAGTCCCCATAGTACTTGAAGCCGCGCCTAGGCCGCCCAGGCCGCTCGGGCCCAAGCCCTGCAGAAAGTCGAGGCTGTCTGGTTGCCCAGATGAGCCCAGAAGATCAGGCTGCAGGATATCGTCCACTGCAGGGTATCCGCCAGACTCTCGTGCTTTGCTGACACCAACCATCTCATCAATCTCCGACTCAGGCTCCTTCTGCCGGGCTCGGCGCGGAGGGCGCCCAGATTTGGGAGGCGTAGGCTTCATTGTGTTTGGGCTTTGCAGCGCATCATCCGCCCCAAACTGGCGAAGGACGCCCTCCCAAGACTCAGATGGAGCCTCCTCGGCTTCACGGGCACTGAAGGGCATCTGATCGGAACGGGCAAAGCTGGATGTGGTAGCACAGGCAACCTCTGCCCGCGCCTCTCTAATCGCATTGACTGCACCTTGCAGCAGGCTCAGTGGATCACTTGGATCCTCGCCTTCGTCAATCTTGCCTCCCTTGGGCAGAGAGAAGTGGGCCAAGCCCAAACCTTCAGCATCAGGATGTCCGGCATCCAAGGGACTTTCTTCAGGCACAGCTGCTTGTACTGCAAGGCTGCCCGCGTTTTCCGCGTTCACTGTCAGGTTCTTGCCGAGCGATACGCTTGCTCTGAACTTCTGCTCGGTAGGCTCAGCTCCAACCCAAGTTGATCCGAGGTTTGCCCCGTGAGCATCAGCTTGCACAAATTTTGACTCACCAACAAGGGTTCCCTCCAGCAACTGCGAGGCATCATTGCCCAGATTACCCGCGAGAGCTTCTGTGTTCCCCAGCCGTTCATCAAGCTGAGCAGTGTTTTCTAAGGGCTTGCCCCAGCTGTCTTCAAACAGAGAGGCCTCCCCAACGCTTGCCGGTTCTGGGGCCTCAGGGGCACTGGCAATAACGTTGGGGAACTCAGCTGTCACTGGATCAGCAGCCTCGGCTGGCTGCAGCCAGGGTACCGGTGCCACTGGCCACGCATGCGGATCAGAAGGGATCGCAGAAACCCTTCTTGCTTGGGACTCCTGCCTTTCCTGCCTCAAGTGATTGAGCTCCTCGTCTGTTGGGTAGCCAGGCTCCCACTGCATCGTGGACTTGGCATCGGCTTCTCCACCAGAAGGCGTATCAGCCGTCTCATACTTGGAATAGAATCCGCCCCAAGGCTCGCCAGGTGGGCCTCTACCTGACATACCCTCCATTGGTGTTGAGGCAACAGATGGCAGCATGCTATGCAGAGGCGCTGGCCCCGATGCGTTTCCGCTCTGCAGGAGCATCTGCCTTTGCAGCTTACGCTGCAGCTTTTTCACGTCCTTCTCCTTTTCCTCAAGCTGCCGCGCTTTCATGTCCAGAAGGTCTTGCTTAGCACACTCCTTCTCTTGGCGTAGCCGGTCAGCCTCCTCCTGCAAGCGAGCCAAGGCCTCCTGCTGGTGCCGGTACAGCTCTTGCTGCTGGTGCATCAAGCCCTGGAGCATGTCACTGACTGGAGGAGAAGGGGAAGCAGCGGGACCCAATGCCCTGAAGCTGCTTTGCTGTGGCACTGGCATCGAGCTAGCCTGTGCGCTAGCCTGTGCGCCAGCCTGCGCGACCTCCCAAGGCAAGGGTGAGGAGTTCGGCGATGCGTTGAACTGCATCGGCTGTGCTGCTGGCAGACCAAAGAGGTCGGAGCGTGTGCCGCGGTCATGAGCGAAGCCCTGGTCCTGCGTGGCTTCCCGCAGCCTGCGCCCTGTTCGTGGCAAGGGACCAGGCTCCTCTTCATGTTTGGCCATGGCGGCCTCGTTTTCCTCGTCAAGGAGTGCACGCTTCCTGGCCTCCTCCTGCCTGCGAGCCTCCAGCCTGGCCTCCTCCGCTGCCTGCTCGCGGCGAATTCGCTCGTTCTCCCGCTCTTCCTCCTGCTTCCTCCTCTCCTCCTCTGCCTTTTTTTGACGCTCTTTCTCGGCCACCTGTTCAGCCAGCACGCGCTTCATCTCCTGTACAGCGGATGGAACGTGTACGGAATTCGCGTTGAATCATGAAACGGCACTTCTCGACAGCCTCCCCGCCTCCTGCTTCTTTCGGCGGTCATCTTGGCCGTTTACTTCCCCGAGTCGGCCCAGGGGACCTGACAAGTCTCATGAGCCAGTCAGGTACCATCACCTTCTTGGTAAGCATGAGAGCAGGAGCGAGATCAGGCAAAACAGTGTCAAACACTTAATGAGAAGCCGTGTGCTTGAACTCTCTGACGTTTAAGCAATAGTCTTCCCAGTGCTCCCACGCAGCTCCAAAATGACCGTGGGCCACTCAAAAGAGATTTTCATGTGCTCCTGGCCTACAGGCGTTGGCGCTGGTCCTGGCTGTGCTCCGGGACCAGCCGGAAAGGTGCTCTGCACAGCAAGGCCGGTCTGGTGAACTTGTCCCATGCCAGGGCTCTGGACTATGCCTATGCCTAAACCCAGTCCCTGCCCGCCCACACCTGGCATGCCCATTGCAACGCCGGGTGCAACGATGCCGGGCTGCATGTACGGTATGTTCGTTGGCAGGAACGGCTGCATTCCAGCCTGAATACCGGGTTGCATGGCAGGCTGCAACCCAGCTTGCATGCCAGGCATTATGTGCGGCTGCATGAGGTTGTAGTCCATGTAGTTATCCTGATGCCCCTGTGGCAGACCTTGAGCAGGTGCATATGGGGCCTGAGCCCCTGGACCGGCCTCAGACGCGCGGCGCCTCGCCTGGGCGTCACGCTTTTGTCGCTCCTTCTCTGCAATCTGCTCCTCCAAGGCGCGCTTCATCTCTTCTTGCCTCAGATGGACAAGATGCTGAACCATGCTTCGTTTGCCAGCAAATGAAAAAAAAGCTGGACGCTCAAGTTGATTCAAGATGCTTCTTGCGTCTTTCCATCTGCACAGCGTCCCCTGCTGCACCGAGCCCATCCACGCCTGCAAGCGCCTGTGGCTGACCTGCAGCTGGACCTGGACCAGCAGCCAAGGGAACGGCCGGAAGGCCAGGGTGCATCGCCAGGCCTGGAACACCTGGCACGCCTGGTATGCCTGCCTGGCCTGGCATACCTGCTGGCATGGCTTGCTGCATGGGTTGCATGGAGACGGGGTGACCATTATATGCCTGGCTATCCGGAAGGTTCTGTGGGCCTGCCATAGGCGCATGTGGAGCATGCGGAGCATGTGGAGCATGTGCCAGGCGTTCCTTCTGGGCCATCTGCTCCTCTAAGGCGCGCCGCATCTCTTCCTGCTTCCTTCGGCGGTCGAGCTGCGCAGCTTCGGAGGCGGCTCCCAAACCATCAAGCCCGGAAACTGGGCTGCCCGCACCTACCCCGGGCATGGCTGGCATGGCCCGCATGGCTGGTACAGCTGGGGATGTTGGGCCTGGAAAAGCTCCTTGCAAGCCCTGGGCACCTGCAGGCTGTTGGTGCAGCGGTGATCCGAGCAGACCAGGCCCATGCGGCGTCATGCGCTCCTTCTGCGCTATCTGCTCCTCCAGAGCGCGTCGCATATCTTCCTGTCTCCTGCGCCTTTCCATCTGCGCCACATCTCCTGCTACGCCCAAGCCATCAAGCGAAGGTGTCATGCCGACGCCAGCGACGCCAGATGGTGAGGGTATCATTGGTCCTGCTGGGGCTGGCTGCCCGTTCATCCAGGGCTCGGCCAGCGGCAGGTGGCTGGGAGTCAGACCCTCAGCCGGTGCTCGGCCCGGCGAGGCCAACGCAGCCGGGAGTGCAGTCACTGCACATGGCTGCGCCAGCGGCTCCATCGCCTGGACATTTTGACTTGATGGCCCTGGTGCCTCTCCTCCTGGCTGCAAAGGCGGCGGCCTGCCAAGAGCAAGACACATCAACTGCCTCCACACGCCAACCAAAACCGCACCTGGATGGAAGGCCGAACAACCGCCCATCAGCTGCGCCGCCTTTTGGGCTGCATGCATCAGGCGCTGGCACCAGCTTTTCCAGTCAACGCGCCTCCTGCCACCCCAGCGCTTGGACCGAAGAGGCTCTTCTTGGCCGCTTTCGCATCTTAGCGCAAGAGCAGGTTGGTTTAAGCAGAAACAAGTACAGCTGTTCTTATTCAGTTCCGTGAAGTCTCTAAGACCCTGTAGGCACCTAAAGCACATGATCTCAAAGGAGGCCACATCCTGCTGACGTCCGTAGGCATCATGTATACCTGCAAACCTGGCCTTGGCTCCACTTCTGGGAACTTAATTCCAAATCCCAAACATGAAGACGCGTGAGTGCTCACAGCATACAAGAACAAAAATCCTTGCTTTGAGAGGAGACTCCTCCTGGTCAAGCAGGATATCCTATGTCTGTGTTGCTAATCACCAAGAACAGTAGGGATGCTAGCAATCTCGTCTCAGACGGATACCATCAAAGGCAGCAGGCTTGGGGATCTTGCCGTTGTCTTCCTTCGTTCGCGCACACAAGAGCATGTCTGGCGCCTTGGGGCCCAAGACGGATCAATAGTGTTGGTAACCCGGTACATCCACGCTAGGTGGTCACTCAGCCAACTAAAACACGCTACTGTCCTGCAAGGCCAATTTCTCCTTGGCGGCCTGTGCTGCTTGAGCCTCCGCCTGCACAGGTTGCGTTCGGGAGGCTTTATTCGCAACAGAATGACTGTTTGACTGTTGTCAGCGCTTCCTGCTTCGCCCCTTCGCATCCTGCCTGCAGCATCTGCTTCAGCTCTGGGTTCTTTGCTTGAGCCTTCTCCAGTTCGACCTCACACGTTCTCACCGCGCACCTCTCTCACTGCATGCGGTGCACTCTCCACCGAGACCCAGACACGAAGCTGCACCGCCTGCCTCAGCCTCACAAGCTGGACTTGGCAGGTTCACCCAGCTTTGCGCTAGCAGGAAGAACGCAATAACAGCATGTTGGGCCCAGCTTTCTGGGTATAGCAAGCTGGTAAGCCCTGAATCCAGCCTTCTCTTTCTCTCTCAAGAAGACTCCCGCTTCCCTTTCAGCTCAAGTCAAAACTGGAACCTCAAGTTTAACGCGCCTGTCCAACGAAACTCAGCAACTCGTTCTAAGGAGATTTGAGTTGCGAGCCTCAAAACATCCCAACACCCTTGTCTTCTTGTAAGGAGTCCTGCCCGTCCTGTGGTATCCTCAAAAATATTGGGCGTAATATCTGAAGATTCACCAAGCAAACCCGGTCGACGGTAAGCTTCACCATTTCCATTAATCCCACTACCTCCTGCCACTTCACACTATTTCCTAACAATTACCATCTGGTTCGACATCTGTCAAGGTATTCGGTCAGGAAAGGGAAATATTCAAGCGCCAGCTAGACCCTTTGCAGAACCTCAAAGCTTTTATTTTCGGGGAAGAGTAAGCTGGACTCCAGGCTCCAGGCAGATCGCCACGCTCCTCTGAACCCTCTTCCATCAATTTGGCGGCCGCCTCCATTTGTGCCACCTGCAAGGTCACTTCAGACACAGACAGGCAGAGCGAGAGAGAGAGAGAGAGGGAGGGAGGGACAGAACCTCTTGCACACCAAGATCCAGTCAGCCATGAGCTTGAACGCAAGGATGAGGCCGCATGCTAAGTCTGAGAGGGGTTTGGTAGTCACATCGGCGCCTCCCTCTCTTTGTCCTTGAACCGCTCCAGGGCCCTGCCAGCGCAAGCGCAGCAAATAAGCAGTCACGGAAACGATCCGCGTGGGAGGGGCTTGGTGCTGGAGCGCACATGCTAGAAGCACTTCTGACTCCTGCTACCAACTGCAAAACATCACCCCTCGGCCTCTGCTGCAAGCGCACCTCGCGCTGTGAGTTCCATTCCTGTCGATTCGAAACTTGTAAAGCTGCTGGTTGATGGCCCTCCGCACGTCAACTGGAAAACAATGCCTGGTGCTGTTACGAACAGAGTGCCAGCAGTGTTCGACCAAGACGGTTGGCCTGCTGGACTGCTTCCTCGCTGACGGCGGCAGCCGCCGCCGCTTCCTTAGACTTTTGCTTGCTTGAGGGATTCCATGCTGAATGTCAGGGCAACGGACAGGGTGATATGCCAAAGCATGCCTGTGAGCTCCCCTTAGGGCTCAAACCCTTCTGACCTGGGAAACTTTGGATGCCGAGGGCATGGCCCGGTGGCGTTCCGCCCGCGAGCGCGGCTGCATGGCTACCTTACCATGCTTTATCCGTTTCCCGAACTCAGCTCTTCCGAAGCGTCCCTGCAGACTTCAAAAGAAATGAGAATGCCAATTGGAGAGCTTGTCCTGATTACTTCGCACAGACTTTCCTTGCCATGGTTGCAGCAGTGGTGGTTCTTGGCTGGCACATAGCAGGAAGAGATTGAAGGCTTACATGTTGGATCTCAGTTTTCAAGTGTGAATTGCAAAGCCGAATGTGACAGAAAGGATCAGAAAGGACACTCCACTGCAAACACACCATCTCACAACGTCGACCCTACCTTGGCATCATGAGGCAGGCGGAGGCGGCCATTCACGAAGGTGAAGGATCGAGGCAGCTGATATCACTTGCACGCCAGTCAGCTTGAGTGCTTTTCGGCATACTGAGCATAGTGAATGCATGTTTGGTGTTGCTTTTTCAACTGGTTCTCAAGAGCAACCTTGTCAGCGGAACACACCAAAGCACAGCGAGCATGCTTGGCAGACCGCACAGCTGGGTGATGGAAACCTGACGGCCAAAGAACTTGCCTGGCCGCCAATCCCGATGAGGTCGCTGACGTCCTCATTCTCGAAGCCTAGGGGAGCCGCTACCTCGAGACATGTGAGCTGGAGGATTGGGGCCCGCCAGCAGAGATAATTCTCCTGTACAGAGCTGTTCCTCTGAGAAGGCTCCAGGATAGCATGCTACGGGGTCACTCCCCAATCTGCTGAGTTCCGCACCAGGACTCTCAAGGTGCAAGCAATCAGCAAGATCTCGTGCTGCATCAATGAAGCATTGCAAGGCGCGAGGAGGCGTTGTTAACTTATCCGGGAATGGAGTGCGGTTGGGCCTGCTGGGTATGCCCAGTTGCTTGTGACAACTGGCACATGAGAAGCAGCGCGTTCATACAAGCCATTCACGCTTCATGCAGGGTAGGAAATCTGAAGCCTACTTATTTGGGTAGCTAAGCACAGTGCAAGCCAATGGCTCAGCAGGGGCTTTCAATTATTTGGCCTGTCATGCCGTGCCCGGTTGATGCATGCTAGTCAGGTTCTATTTGCAGATTCACGCGGCAGCTAGCGATGTTTCCTCCGTCGCCCGGCTGCTAGCTGCTAGATGTGCAGGCAGCAGCATCGCAGAACCTGCAGCCAGCAGCCCTTTGAGTATTCCACGGCTAGAAAGTCTGGAGGACAAACATATGAATCCAGTAGTCTTCTCTTAACTGTTTGCAGGCTATGGCTAAAGATCACTTTCCTGGACTTGCGGCATGTACATTCAGCGAGGATCAAATCTGCCAGGATGCATGCAAGAAAAGATCTCGTGTCTTGTTTTCCCGCTAGCACATCCGTTTCGCTTCCCATCCCTTAGGCATGACAGTCGCGAGGATTGCAGACCTCTGTTTAAGTAAAAGAAGGGAAGCGTCACCTCTTTGATAAATTGTAAGTTTGTGATGCTTACTCTTCATCGATCTTTGCCACAGTCTGCATTCATGAAAACCAACTAACATGTCAGGGATGAGAAGGGGTTCATTTGCACTTCACAGGCACTGCATCTTGCTAGGCGACAGTTTGACAGTCCGCCATAGTCCACCCTGATGCCTTGTAAAAAGGAACACTGTGCGAACTCTCGGCAGCGGCAATTTGCCCATGAACGAGTTTTGCTCTTCGGCACGGCTGCCTTGGCCTGTTGCCTGGACACCATGCAGGTCCAAGGACTTAGCTTTCTCAGTGATTTGAGAAGAGTTGGGGATGTCAAGTTGGCTAAAGAAATGTTTAGCACGATGAGCTGCAATCAGCCCCATGGATACACGAGATAAGCTGGAACCTGCAGAGTGCAAAGGCTTCCGGAGCTAAAGTCATCTTGGGGATTTGATCCCAGTGCCAACCCAGACATCGCCTCTTGCGGTTCTGCGGCTGACTAGAGCCCTACCTCAGGTTTCTGAGCAGAGCATCTAGATATAAGTGCTTTTGGTTGCGTCCTTGGTTGCGTCCTCCTCCTCCTCCTCCACTCTTGAACTCGAAGTGCGCGCAATCTGGTTGTTGAAAGTCCCAGTCCTCCCGATAAAGCGGCGGCTCATGCGGCGAAGCCTCAGCAAGGAACCCTGATTCCTATAGCGACCTTTTATGACTTTTGCTGCTTTGCAACCCTGCCTTGGCCGACTGTGCTGGGATTCGATCTGGTCACAGCGTCGCAGCAGCAGGCGTTGCAGGTCGTCGCGATCTAGGACACCGTTCCCATCCTTGTCTAACGCGTTAAAACGATCGAGAATGGGCCCCACGACGTCCATGTTGACCAACTCCAAGGACCGCAGCATGGCCAGGACATACTCGAGCTCCGTGACCTGCCCGTCACCGCTCACATCAAACTCCTCGATCAAAGACGGATCCAGCTCCCGCTGGAGGATTCGAGCCTCTCTCAGATGGAGCTGCCGTGTCTGCCACAAACGATTCAGGTGGTCAGCCCACATGATAATCAACCCAATGCCGTAACTGGCAACTATGATTGACCACATCTTTGCTGTGGCCGTGCGAGGGCATACATCTCCGTAGCCGACAGTAGTGGACGTGATGACCTTTGCACCCGACTGGACTGCAAACAGCTTCAAGGCAACCGCACTTCTGCAAAGACTTTGACTATGCGGACAGAGGTCAAGCAGCTTGCAATGACAGAGTCGCTAAGACAAGATCCCTGCAAGGCTATCTATCGCAGCAAGAAGGTTGTAAAAAATTGGCCGAGGCACGAAGTAATATATACTGTCAAACAAGCCCATTTGAAAGGCCTCTGTGTTCTCCAGCGTGCTGACGAAAGCACCCGGCACTCCGCGGAAAAGCGCCCACATGATCAGCATCATCATCGAGGCAGTGGCAGCAAGAAATGTGGCCAGCTCCACAATGCCCTTTACCAATGCTGCAGCTATCATCATCAATCAAACTCGTTCTGAAAATGATTGATAAAATGAATCTTGCTCATAGATCTAAAATGGAAACCACATGTTGCACTGCTGGTTCCTTACAGCAAAGCTTGAACCCGTTTCAAGACAAGCACCCAGAAGTAGAAGTGCACCGCCGACAGAACCCAAACATGCGACTCCTCGATGTGGATCCAATTCCCCACCTCCGATGTCGGCAGGCAACGGCTGAGCATCCAACGCCATGCCCGGAAACAGAGCGACAGCCACGCTCGCTGGAACTCTGCCAAGGTCCCCGTGATAAACGGTACAGAGAAGAAGGCATAGACCATGGTAAAGGCTCGGGACCCTGTGGAGGTGGGTGCCAGGCATCCATAGCCAACAGTGGTTGTGGTCACCTTGGCGCTCACTAGCTTATTTTGCACGGCCTGCATCATAGCTGCTCAAGATTCTGAACACATACATGGAGATCTTTGGAAATACCTCAAGGCACATGGCTTTTCTGTCATAGCTCTAAGTGATTCAAGCGGCAAAACTGAAATAAAGGCAGTCAGTGAAGTTCCACTCTGGCTCCAGAAAGTTGTAGATGGTGGCACCCAGCAGGCAGTAAAATCCACATACTGTCAAACAAGTAGCAGCCCGTGTCGGGCAACCACTTCTTACATGGCAGTCAAGCGGGCGTCGCATGAATCCGCAGCTGACTTGAGCGCAACAGCCGGACACAAGCAGAGGAAAGCCAATACCTGCCCTGGTCAAGTGGCGGCAGCTCTGCCAAATTCCTGTACTAGAAGTTGGAGTTTAACGGCAAAAAGCAAGCATAGTCTGGAGTCTCTGGAGATTTCAGGTCGGGCTCTGAATCCAACTTGGTGCCCGAAGAGTCCTTTAGTCAGCCGCACAAAGGGATATATTCAAGTTGTTTAAACTCCCTGTCAGGGATCTCGTAAACTCTTGAAAGAACCAGAAGCAACTGCCATGACCTGCCTTCGTTGGACGTGCAAACTGAGGTATCATAAACTACCATGCCTCCTCGAGCCATAAAAGATGGACCACTCCTTCTCAAACATTCTTATAGCATCCGGCCACCCTCGTCAACAAAATGGCTCGGCACATACCCAACTCTCGTGGGGCAGAAAGGGTGCCTCTGCGAGACACCGCGTGAGCTGTAGACTCTGCAGAGTTTCGGAAGCTGAAATATTTGTCCTCACACCATCTCCTACAAATGTTTGTAAGCTTGGTACGCTTAACACCATTGACGCCAAGTTTGTCAGAGCACACACGGCAATTCTGACAAGGTGATTTGTGCTCTCGCAGCTTCAGTCAGTCTCACGGATCTCCAGTACCGACGACTCCATCATCCCCAACGCTGTTGCAAGGTCACGGACATTATCCATGATGGATCAGTGCGAGGCCTATCTGCAACCAGTCTAAACAAACACCGAGAATGGCCCACACAGTGCTTCATTACAGCAGTATCTTCGCGCAGGCGGCCCAGCAAGCACAACTCACACAGC